CTATAAGTTAAAAGTAAGACTTTATAAATTGAACTCGGCAAGTGCCCAACACAAAATGAAACACACACATACACCCAAAATTATCGTTGCAGTTTTGAAACACTAGGAAGAGACAAAAGATCCATTAAAAGTATTGGAAACCACTATAGTATCAAAATTTCCAGCAGTAAACTGGAAACCCAATAACAATAGAGTAATGTTTTCAAAATTCCAAAAGGAAATAATTTCTAAACTAGACCTACACTGTCAGTAAATGTAATGATGGAAAAAGATGTTTTCAAACTTGTAAAGTCCCAAAATATTTTGTTCCCTGCTTATCATTTTCTTAGGCAGCTATTAAAGGATTTGTTCCATAGAACAAAGGAGAAAACTAACAAAGAAGTCCAGGAAGGAGAGATAAAACCAAGAGAAAAAAGAGCATTTTCAGGATGGCATAGACCCCAGAATGGAGCTGAGGTAACAACAAATATCTACTGGAAAGAGAGGAGGCAGGTTTCAAGAGATGTTTACTTGTGTGAACACACACACACACCTGCACAAATCACGGTGAAAGGGTCCTAATGCCTAAGATCCTGAGAGAGTCCGGCTGCTGCAGAAGTGTCGAGAAAGCAGTAATGCCAGATGACAGATAGACAGATAGATAGATAAAACAAATCAAAGTGAGACAATAGTCAAATTCAAAGAAGACAGTATAATGCAAGAAAGAGAAATTTAATCATATTTTTTGGTACCAGGGGTCAAACTCACGATCTTGCACTTGCAAGGCAGGCACGGGTGCCACCGAGCTAAATCTCTGGCCTTTTAATCATAAACTTACCCCATGATTCAGCAGTGAATAATGTTTTCAGAACTATAAAAATTCACTCAACAAAATATGACTGTCATCATATTGGAATGGAAAGAGAGAAATGTGTATGTGTTAAGTAAATATAGGTATGGGAAAGGAATACAACAGCTAAAATTTCCTTCCCTACATTAGAAAGTCAAAGGAGAATATATATAAAGTTAAAAGCAAAATAAAACATAAAATTTCAAGAGACAGCATATTATGTGGAACTATGGAAGTAAACATCAAAAAGAACATTAAAAATGTTGAAAATAGCTGCTTCTAGAAGTCAGAGATCAGGACTTAAGAAGGATGAGGAAAGGACTGAGCTTTTATTAGAAGCCATTAAGATATCTATAGATATATATATCATATACATATATTAACCATATATAGTGTATGACATATATATATAGCCTATATATATAGCATTCATACATATATACAGCTTTAAGAAAAAGAGAGAGTTGACTGTAAACTTATTTCTGTTACTACTCCCTTACTTCTGGAAAGATAGACAAATCCATACTTAATGATACATCAGAAATGGCCAGGGGAACTATTTTCTTTTTCACAAATACATAGCTTAAGATAATCAATGAACTCCTGCGGGCAGACTCGATATTTCCATAGACAGATCTCAAAAAGCTATTGTCAGAAGCTATTTCAAAAGCTTTAAAAGCAATCCTCAGGAAACCTGGAGACCTGGATAAAATAAAGTACAATGTTCAACCCCGACTGTGTGCTGGCTTAATTAAGGATACAAAATAAAATCTACACGAGATAAGTGCTATTCTCAATTACACAGACAGAAAGACGTGCGAGTTGGAGAAGAAAACCGTACTTGCCTAAACGGTCACGGTCTATATGGCATAAAGCTGGCATTCAAATCCAGCAACCTAATTTTATTGTCAATGAATATATTCTTCTGCCCCGCCCCACCCACTAATTTCCATCGATAATTAGCTGTGCATTTACTGGAGAATTTAGTCAGATCATCTTGGCCTGTTAATCTACAGAGCTAAAAGTTTGATAAGATGTCTCTTTCAAGTCTAGAATTCTAGGAAGAGGAATAACTTCCAGACTGAAAAGATCATATACAGTAATAAATATAGAGCTATTTAATGCAATTCTTTCCTACTAAAAGGAAAATAAACATCATAAATTAAGAGATAATAAAAATTGAGGTAACTGTGTTTTAATTATGTTTCTCTTCAGTAAAGAATAGCCACCATGA